AAATAGATGTGCTTTTTGCTAACCAATTAAAAATATATATGTAAGAAACACACTACAATAGTAATGGGGGACTTCAACTACCCTGACATCAACTGGAAAACTAATTCTGCACCAAGTGATAAATTGAATAAATTCCTGACCAACCTAGCTGACAACTTTGTTGTCCAAAGGTAGAGGAGGGAACTAGAGAGATAACCATACTGGACTTAATTCTCACAAACAGAGAAGAAGTGATAGAGGAAGTTGAAATTGCAGGAACCTTGAGTGAGAGTGACTATGCCATACTGGAATTCAATATAATGCAAATACAAGCAATAGAAAACAATGATACCAGAGTCTTAGATTTTAAAAGAGCTGATTTTAACAAACTTCAAGAGAGCTTGGGAAAGGTTCCTTGGAGGAAAATCCTAAAGGGGAAAACCTCAAGAAGCTTGGGAAACTCTGAAATGTGATCATAAAACCCCAATCCAGCACAATACCACTGAAAAACAAGAAACCTAGAAGAAACCAGCATGGCTGCACAAAGATCTCTCTGACAAATTCAAAGATAAAAAGGACAAGTACAAAAAAATGGAAAGAGGGACACATAACTAAGGCAGAATGTCAGCAGATAGCCAGAATCTGCAAAGATGAAGTCAGGAAAGCAAAGGCTCAGAATGAACAAAGACTTGCAACAAAAGTCTAAGATAATTTTTAAAAAGTTTCTTTCAACATCAACTAAAGAGAGAAGATGGCAAGGAAGTAACAGGCAGAGAGAGAAAGCAGAGCTGCTTAACTCATTCTTTGCATTGATCTTCACGCAAAACGAAATTATAGCCCAACCTACTATAACTGAAAAAGATAGACTAGAAATAAAAGTTAAAATAAACGAAAAAATGGTAAGAGAACACCTGTCTGATCTTGATGAACATAAATCACCGGGACCTGATGGATCACATCCCAGAGTATTGAAGGAGCTGGCAGATGTCAGAACCACTGTACTATGTCTTTCAAAAATTCTAGAGCACCGGGGAACTACCAGAGGATTGGAAAAGAGCTGATGTGGTTCCCATCTTCAAAAAAGGAGAAAAAAACAGACCCAGGAAATTACAGACCAAACAGTCTAACATCAATACCTGGGAAGATTCTGGAAAAGATGATCAAAAAACAGATATGCGAACACCTAGAAACAAATAAAGTTATAACTAGAAGCCAGCATGGGTTTGTTAAAAACAGGTCATGCCAAACCAATCTTATTTCATTCTTAGACAAAGTGACTAAATTAGTAGACCAGCGAAATGCTGTGGACATGGTATGTTTAGACTTCAGCAAGGCATTCGACAAAGTAGACCACAACCTATTTCTTGGAAAGCTAGAAAAAGTGGAATAGCTAGCATCACCATCAGATGGATTTGTAATTGGCTGACAAACCATACTCAACGAGTAGTATTACGTCTAAATGGAGGGAAGTAAGCAGTGGGGTACCACAAGGTTCCATTTTAGGCCCAGTATTCTTCCATATCTTCATGAACGACCTAGATGAGGGAATAGAAGGGGAACATATCAAATTTGCAGATGACATTAAGCTGGCAGGAATAGCCAACACCCTAGATGATAGGCTCAAGATCCAAATGGATCTTGACAGACTTGAGCACTGGGCCCTATCTAACAAAATGAAATTCAATGTAGAGAAAAGTAAAGTCTTACACTTAGGCAAGAAAAATCAAAACTACAGATATAGATTGGGTGAAACCAGGCTTAATAGCAGTAACTGTGAGAGGGATCTTGGAGTCTTAGTGGACAATCAATTAAATATGAGGCAAAAGTGTGCGGCAGCAGCCAAGAAAGCCAATGCAATCCTAAGTTGCATTAACAGAGGGATTTGATCAAGATCGCTTGAGGTACTAATGCCATTCTATAAAGCCTTAGTAAGACCACACCTAGAATACTGCATCCAGTTTTGGTCTCCACACTGTAAAAAAGAAATTGAGACTCTAGAAAAAGTGCAGAGAAGATCAACAAAGATGAATAGGGGACTGGACGCTAAAACATATGAAGAACGGCTTCAGGAACTGGGCATGGTTAGTCTAGTGAAGAGAAGGACCAGGGGAGACATGATAGCAGTGTTCCAATATTTGAGGGGCTGTCCCAGAGAGGAGAAGATCAACCTATTTTCCAAAGTACCTGAAGCCCAGACAAGGAATAACGGATGGAAACTGATCAAGGAGAGATTCAACCTGGAAATAAGGAGAAATTTTCTGACAGTGACAACAATCAGCCACTGGAACAGACTGCCTTCACATATTGTGGGAATTTCATCACTGGAAGCTTTCAAAAAGAGACTGGACTGCCATCTGTCAGAAATGGTGTAGCATCTCCTGCTTGGGCGAGGGGTGGGACTAGATGACCTACTAGGTTCCTTCCAACTCTGTTATTCTAAATTTATTTTCATATTCACTATTAAGAGAATATGGAAGTCTCTTCTCTTTTACAGATGTGCCATATTTTTCTGGTAAAAGTGAGAGACTGCAATACTTTTAGCCCAATGCAAGAATAGGGCAAATTAGGTGGGATGTATGCTAAACAATTTCTGCCCTGGAAATGTTTTTCTTTGTGTTGCTAAAAATGTTATCAAGAAGTCTTATACTTGAAGTCTGTAACAAAAGGTACTATGATGTTACATACACAGATCATTGTACCTAGTGAGGCTGCACATGTACTTGTATGGCGTATAAGAAGGATCGCATTTTGAGTTAACTCAAATAATTTTTTTGAATCACTTTGAGTGTAGCTTATCTTAGGTGATATGATTTTGCAACTGTTGCATAAGTGCTCCTGTTGAAAGATGGAGATATTTTTCTTTCAAAAAGTAATGAAAGCAATGGCATAGTGTGAGAAATGTCAAGATGCTTTCTTTTAAAACGTACAAATTGTTTGCAATTCACATAAAAGTTTCTTTCCACACTTGCTTGTGTTGCCAATGGTAGATGTTATTTTTTTAACATTAGCAAACTTTCCAACATTCACCACTACATTATAATTCCATGCAGCCAAGATATACCAATTGATGGTAGAGGACAAACTCTAAATTAAATATCTCTGCCAAGGGTTAAGTGTGGTTTTAAAGCTGGCATATTTTCTCTAACAGAGAAAAATTGCATAAATATTATGGAATACAATCTTTAACAATTTTAAGCCACCTCAAAGCGAGATGTGCGGCATATAGGCTAAATAAATAAATAACAGTTTGAGATGGAAGAAAGGCTCAGTTAATTTCTAGATTTGCAGGGATTAAAAAAGATCATGGGATGTGGTAAGATAGAACAATGTGGGACAGTGAGTACCAACACAAGATGGATTTGGCTGACCAACTGCACTCAGTGTGTAATTCTCAATGGAACTACATCTACATGTATGATGACACTAAACTGGCAGGAATAGCCAACACCCTAGAGGACAAGCTCAGGATCCAAAAAGATCTTGGCAAACTGGAACAATGGGTCCTATCCAACAAAATGAGCTTTAATGTGGAGAAAAGCAAAGTTTTACATTTAGACAGGAAAAATCAAAGGTATAAGTACAGATTAGGTGAGACCTGGCTCAAAAACAGTAACTGTGAGAGGGACCTTGGAGTCCTAGTGGACGATCACTTGAGTATGAGCCAACAATGTGCAACAGCAGCCAAAAAAGCTAATACAATCCTGGGTTGTATAAACAGAGGCATAGAATCAAGATCATGGGAAGTATTAGTACCGCTTTATAAAATCCTAGTAAAACCACACCTGGAATACTGCAACCAATTTTGGTCACCATACTACAAAAAGATGTTGAGACTTTGGAAAAAGTTCAGAGAAGAGCAACTAAAAGGATCAAAGGCCTGGAGACTAAAACATAGGAAGAATGGCTGCAGGACTTGGGTTTGGCTAGTCTAAAGAAAAGAAGAAATAGGGGAGACATGATAGCAGTATTCCAGTATTTGAGGGGCTGCCACAAAGAAGAGGGGGTCAAATTATTCTCCAAAGCACCAGAGGGCAGGACAAGAAACAATAGTTGGAAACTGACCAAAGAGAGAAGCAACCTGGAATTAAGGAGAAACTTCCTGACAGTGAGGAGAATTAACCAGTGGAACAGCTTGCCTTCAGAAATTGTGGGTGCTCCATCACTGAAGGTTTTTAACAAGAAACTAGACAGTCACTTGTCTGAAATGGTATAGGTTCTCCTGCTTGAGCAAGGGGCTGGACTAGAAGACCTCCAAGGTCCCTTCTAATTCTATTCTACTCTACTCTACTCTACTCTACTCTACTCTACTCTATTCTATTCTATTCTATTCTATTCTATTCTATTCTATTCTATTCTATTCTATTCCAAATGGAGAGAAGCATGCAGTGGGGTACCTGAAGGTTTTGTCTTGGGACCAGTGCTCTTTAACATCTTTATAAATAACCTAGATGAGGGGATTGAAGGAGTACTCATCAGATTTGCAAATGACACCAAGCTGGTGGGAATTGCTAATACTTTGGAAAATAAAATCAACATTCAGAAGGATCTTGACAGACTTGAGCATTGGGTCCTATGCAGTAAGATGCAGTTCGGTGGTGGTAAAAGTAAGATCCTGCACTTAGGCAAGGAAACCCAGATGCATAGTTATAGAATAAGTGGTACCTGGCTGAACAGTAGTCACAGAGATGAGGGGGGTCAACCTATCCTCCAAACCACCTGAGGGCAGGACAAGAAGCAATGGGTGGAAGATTGTGAAAGAGTGATCTAACTTGGAACTAAGGAGAAATGTCCTGACAGTGAGAATGATTAACCAATAGAAGAGTTTGCCTCCTGGAGTTGTGGGTGCTTCATCGCTGGAGGTGCTCAAGAAAAGATTGGACTACCATTTGTCTGTTATGGATTAAGGTCTCCCGCTTTGGAGGACTAGAAGACCTCCACGGTCTCTTCCAGCCCTATGATTCTATGATGCTTTAGCAAATAAAAGCCACACTAATGTCCTTATCTCTTCCTCTGTCTCACAGACGTAACGGAGGGCTCGGTCCCCAATGGTGATTCCCAGAACAGTGTGGATAGTTTGCGGAAGCATCTTCGTGCTGATACTTTCACACAACAGCAACTGGAAGCGTTAGATCGCGTCTTTGAGCGGCCTTCTTACCCTGACGTCTTTCAGGCATCAGAGCACATCAAATCTGAGCAGGTGGGACCCAAGTTTGTAAAAACAAAGTTGATGGGATCCTGACAACTGCAACGGATAACGGTTGCTTCACTTCTCTTACAAATTTTAATGATCATGCCTTCCAGGGCCACAGCACTTGATGGGGCAAATTCTTAAAATAATTCTTAAAATGAAATTACCATTCCAAGAACTGGGGTGGCGACTATGGTGATCAAATTGCCAGAGAACCAATTTGTAATGTAAATGTGTTCTCTGTTGTACAGCAAAAGCTTGCCCGCTTTTATACGGCACACACAGCACATTTTTATTTGTAGTTTTGACGTATTTTGGAAAATCATATAGAAATCAGTATCTTCAGCACTTGCCAATCACTGTAAGACAAAGATAATTCATAGCATGAATATTTGCCCAGTTTGCTTTATTTATATATCGTTGTTTTCTGGATTCTTTCCACACGTTTGTGTAAAACACATCTGGCATGTGGACCATAGATCATGAGAGTATTTTAGAATGCATTTTTTTTTTCTTATTTAGTTTTGTTGTTGTTGAAAGTGATTGACCAGAAGGTGCTGCTATAAGATTTTTTTTCAGTTTCTTGTCATTCTGTAGCCTTCCTGGCTGGTTTTCCTAAAAGGAACTGCCTCAGCTTATCAACATTTAGGCAAGGAGGCTGCAGAACTTTGGAGAGAGGATTTCACAATGAAAGGCAGGACACTCATAGAGCTTCTTAGCACTTTATTACCTACCGGTAGATAATTTCTGATAACACCGAACTCCAACCAAAAGCCTTTTGAATGGAGTTTGTTTTCTATCCAGTTGAATAGGAATTATTGAAAAAAAGGTGGAAGAAGTGTTTGGCTCAGCCCACTTTTAAACCTTTAAAACTTTTGCAGAATACATCAACAGTTGACTACAATCCACATCCACACATATAACAGTACAGTATATACCAGGGGTAGGCAACCTTGGCTCTTTTATGACTCGTGGACTTCAACTCCCAGAATTCCTGAGCCAGCATGGCTCAGCTTGGAAACCTCTCCCTTTCCCCTCAGCATGGCTGGCTCAGGAATTCTGGGAGTTGAAGTCCACGAGTCCTAAAAGAGCCAAGGTTGCCTAACCCTGGTATATACAGATACAGATCACACATACAAATTTAAACCATTGTAGGCAAATACACCAACTGTCACATGCTACTAATATTTCTATACAGACACAACATCTAGGTCACTCTTTAAGAATTTGAAAATATTTACCTAGTATATATCCATAGAAACATGCCCCAGTATTCTGTAATTTACTGTAAATAATTATTTACAAAAGACACTGACATAAGTATGTGATGAAGTAGATTAAATTACATTGCTACACCTACAAGACAATGTACTTGTTATTATATGGTTTCCCCAAATACAGTAGATTTCACAGTTGCACAGAACTTCAAAAAGAAAGACTTTCTCAGTGACAATCTCGTCTCTCTGGAGCAACTTGCCCCAAAATCAGAAGTGCATTCTTGTTCTTGAAATTCAGTTTACTAAAAGAGAGCATTCGTGTAGTAGGAGATCCTCTTAATGGTAGCAGTAGTTTCTGCTAACTATATTTAAACACTATAATTGCTTGCTGTTTTCATTATTTTATGGATATTCTTAGCTTTCTATATTGTAAGCCTCCTAAAATCATGAGAATTAGGCAGTGTACATATGGAAGGGAAGGAAAAGTTTGAAAACTGGTCCTTTAAAAAAAAGTTCATACATTTATCTAGTGCTATTCAGAGAGCGTCTGTATAAAATGTTAATAGTAAAAGAATATTTAATACATTAATATTTTAATACTTCCTATATTCTAGAATTTAGCCTTTTTTTAAATTTAAAATTTACCTTAGAATTGCACATCATACAGCTCCCATGAGTCTTACTTCTCTTATTGTTCCTGTATACAACACTGAAAAAAAAATGTATGATTCATTTGAAATAAAACTTACAATAAAAGAAGAAACGAAGTTTAAACTTCGAACACAAAGGATCCTGAAGCCGAACTGCATACATTATTTTAACAAACCCTGCAGTTTACTAAAAAAAAAAAAAAATCTACTAATTTTTCTACTGAAATGTATTTCGTGCTGTGCCAAGCAGTTGCATGATATACTTTCCCTCATAGCAGAAAGGAATGCAGGGAGAAACTAATCATAATACACTATTATGTACTATAATTATTATAATGCGCTATATACTATTATTATGCATTTTACCCTCCTTCTTTTTTTCTGGTCAGCCCAAGCCATGGAAGCCTCATCCAGAAGGAATCAGGTTTTTTTCCTGTTGCTAGATATCAAACGCAAGCTTTGCTCCGAAAAGGCCTTCTGCATTTCCTGTCTCCCTGACTTGCACAATTTATATCCAAAGTGATTTTGTCTTTACACAAAAATCAAACGCTTTAAATCCCACCTCACGGCAGTAAAACCAACTACTAAAGTTGAGGCCAGCTTTGGGTTTCTGCTATCCCTGAGTGTCTGAGTGTATTACAATGAATAACCTTTATTTACTTTCATTAGACTATTAAACAGCAGCCCAGTCATTCTTCCTCCAGAAACTTTGAATGGGGCCCATAAAACAAATCCAAAGCCTAATTGAGTTCATTTTAATTTCTCTCCAATCACAGCGAATTACTCCAGTGATAAATCAGGAGGCTAGCCTCACCCCCCCAACAGAAAGCCTAATTTGCAGCTAATTACAAAACTGATTTCTACAGAAAGATCAATACAAAAAGGAATTGGAAACGACTAGGCAATCGTGGCTGGGCAAGGAGGAGGAAAGTAGATCATAAGGAAATAGCATGAGGAGTAGGGGCGGGGGAAGGGGAAGCCACCACAAAGCAAAGAGAGAGAGAGAGAGAGAGCAGAAAATCAGTTTTAATTTAATGTAATATTAATCAGAACAACTTTTCCTGCCTTTTTTTTAAATTGTCTCTCTGGTTCTTGCGTCTGGTTTGGAGGCTACCACAATAAAAAGGCAATTACCCAATGCCTCTTGGACAGGACACCCTTTCAGATGCAATGAATTTTCCTCCTCCCATCCTTCTGTTAGCCATGTGGCCCGCCCCCACCCCAATTTCATACCCCAATGCACAAGGGTTGGGGAGAAAAGAGGAGAGGGTTTTTGTTTTGTTTTTTAAAAAAAAGGATCCCAAGAGTGGATTGGAAAAGGCTTTTCACAAATGCAAGCAGATAATCTTTTCTGTTCAGGCAAGAACTTTTAACCCACCCGCCGTATGAAGTCTGTGGAGAAAAGGATCACGATTTTCACATTTTCTTTAAAATAAAGCCAGCCTTTGAATCTGATCTCCCATGTTTTGCTCTGGTTTCATCCAGGGTGGCTGCCTGCTGGGAATAAAGGCAGCCACCCTAGATAAACGGGGATGAATCTGGCTCCCGAGGGAGAGAACTGGCATTCAATTGGGAAGTTTGCCATCTCTGGCCAAATCTTGCTCTTCATTTGTTTTATTTATCTCATCTTTGCTTCCATCTGCGCAGGGACTGCAACCTTCACTCCCCTCCATCTGCCTGCTCTTCCCTTCCTTCCAACCCATCAGTTAGAAAGCTTTCTTTTCTCTCCTCCCTAGGGTAATGAGTATTCCCTCCCAGCTCTGACCCCTGGTCTTGATGAAGTCAAGTCAAGTCTATCCACCTCTGCTAACCCAGACCTGGGGAACAACGTGTCAGGACCCCAGACATACCCTGTAGTGACTGGTAAGTGATGTGCCCACTGATGAGAGCCTATACTTTTGCTTTATCATTATTCCTAGTTGCTTGATAAGCATGTTACCCAAACACAAAAGGAGGGGAGGGGAGGGAAGGGAGTAAATGGATGACAAAAGGAAGGGAAGGGAAGGGAAGGAAAGGAGAGGGGAGGGGAGGGGAGGGGAGGGAGTAAATGGATGACAAAAAGAAGGGAAGGAAAAGAAAGGAGAGGAGAGGGAAGGGAAGGGAAGGGAGGAAAGAGTAAGGAGGAGGTAGGCAAGATTAGAATCAACCATTTCCTGTTTTAAAACATTTAGCAAACTGGGAGCACAGCACCTTGGTTTGTTCTGAACCCACAAGACGAATCTCCTGAGAAATGTTATATTAAAATATTTGAATATTTTAAATATTGTTCATACCATAATGAACCCTCAATGAAATCAACCATAAATCATATGTTAGCACAACTTATTCAAGGCATAACTTATACAAAGCAACGTCTTAATATGCATCAAAATATGATAATCCATGGACCTAAAACAATTCCCTAGGAAAAAGGTCCAGGGATTATAACTGAAAAAGCCACATTCTGTAGAGTGACTAGCTTTGTTTCAGATGGTAGAGTACTTGGATCCCTGCCTGGTCTGATCTATATAATATTAGTGGGAGGGGCTTCGCTTGGATATATGCTCCCAAAGGTATTTGTCTAACTTTTCAATGGAATTTACATGACTTTACATAAATTCTGGCCAAAACATATATTAGCACTATGCATTCTTTTATTATTATTATTA